TCATTTTTTCTTATTCTTCTTCTTCTTCTTCATTTACTTCTTCTTCTTTCTTTTTCTTTCTTCTTCTTCTCCTTCTTTCTTCCTCTTTTTCTTCTCTCTCTCTTCTTTTTCTCTCTTTAAACAACGACGATTGCTCTTGTCTTTCTTTCTCTTTCGATTGTTGCATCGCGCAACACCAAGCTACCCTTCTCTTTTTCCCGTTGATTCCGCTTGGCCCTCTCTCTTCTTAATCTGTTTTTTCTTTTTTTTTGTTTTTAATTATATATATACTCATACATATATATTTGCCACCTGGTTTCCATATGCTCCCATGAGATTGATCATTTATCATCTTTCTAGATGATAAATAAAATCCATAGATATGCGGTACATCACTTATCAACTTTTTAAATAATAGATAATTCAAATTAACTAACAATCATAATAAAAAATAAACATTGAATTTGTTTAACAAAGGTTGCATATATGTTGGTTAACTCTTAAGTTTATAAAACAATAGCAGTTATCATGTTAGGTAATTTTTATAATCTTTATTAACATCATAACTTCATTTATAATATTCTTTGTTTAACAAAATTCTTAAAATTCTGAAAAAGAAAAAATGAAGCATATAAAGTTGGATGAAAAGAATAAATCTTAAAGTGGTTCATCAAATCATAACATTATTAATTAAGCAAACTCTATATATTTATTCATCCAAGTAGAATATCATAAGTACATTACAACATTTATTTTAGAACAGGGTCAAGCTTAACATGCATATAACCATAACTAGTGATATTACAACGTCATATCACAATATTTGGATAATTCATAAACCTATTTGTTTTTATGAAAACAAATTCTTTTGCGTCATTCGTAAGGATTAGACGCCTAATTCTATATTTGTCGAAAAAAATATCCACATTATTGCAAGGAATTAAACGTGTACGAGGGTATGAAGGGCAAAAATGAAATTTATACGAAAATGGAAGCCCAGCTTTCTTGATCTTAAACATGCTATGTGTACTTTCAAAACCATGATAACCTTTTTCTCCTCCAAGCGTCACCGTCCATCCAATCACTCCTGGAAAACGATCAACTTTCCATGCAGTTGTCTCATTACAATTTATGGTAATATTAAACTTAACATTTAAATCAACAGATTCACGAACAATATTATCTTTAACATTTTTTATTGCTGAAAATATTATTGGCTCACCGTTATCGAACGGATCTTGTACCACACTCAGAGGACATTTTTTTTTATTTCCAGGGCCATAAACGGTGAGTCCACCACCACCAGCTCCCCAAATTGCTGACACCACAAAGTAGTCAACCCCGTAGAGGACAGGCTTGCCATCAATGTCAACTATTGGTTTAGGTGCAACGTATCCAAATGATGGTTTTATTGTGAAAATTATAAATAGAAGAAAAAACATAGCTAGTAAAGCTGATTTTGTGGTATTCATTTTGATTTTGTTCTTTTTTTCCTAGGTACAGAAAATTAGTGTCATGGAGATCTTATTTATACTGAAAAATAAATATTATTGAGTATATTTATTTTAATTCACCACATGCACGTGATAAGAATAAAATTATAAATTAAGATGTCTTAATATTTTTTAAATTACAGATGAATATTTTATTAATACTTAAAAACTGTTGGATGAGAAAAAAAATGAGGTTGTGAATTAATAGTGTCGAATTCCCAAGAAACTTGAAGAATTAGAATAACTAAACTTTAATTATGTGCATACGTTGCTTCAAGACAATTAACTTAAAGAATTCGAAGAACTAAACTTTAATGATAATTAACTTTAATGATTTTTAAAAGAGAAATTATTAATTTTCTTTTATTGTGACCTTTATGCTTAAAGAAGTTTAGGTGTTATTATGGCTATATATATATATATATATAATTTAATCAAACCACCAGCCTTATTTACACTACCTTTTATGTCTTCTACTATACATACATACATACATACATACATACATATATATATATATCTGTTTTCCAATGCGAAAGGCTCTGGTATTATGCCTCAAAATCGTCTAGTTTATAAGAAACCATAAAATAATATTAATTAAATTCAGAACAATTCTTCTTATACTCGGTACCAAATTCACTCTTAGTAAGTGTTTCCTCAAACACTTTTTACTAAAGGAGCTCCCCCTCATTTCTTACAATACTTAAAGTATAATAAATAGAAAATTAGAACTTAAAACTTTTCTATCTCAAAAAGTAATTATACAAGTTGAACCTAAAAGATTTGAAGTTAGGAATCAAGAAAAAGAGCATAAGATACTTCTTGAATTTCTATCATTACATGCTCGAAAGTTTTGATAAATAAAGTGAATGACATTAAAAACTAGTTATTCAAGCAAAACTGCTCATTAAACAAAAGTTTGAGATAGGTGAGAGCAATTAGTACCCTTAAATATTGTCATTTCTCACATTTTCCAAATTTTGCTGGCGAAAATGTGTTTCAACAATGCCAATATATTATAATTTGTATATATGGTTAGATTATCGAAAGAAAAATTCGCATAAATTAATCCCCAAATTTTTTTTCAAATAAATTTGATAATTTTCTTTCAAAACACTTCATAAATACCATTATGAAGATCTAAAAAGAAATTAAACTATAACTTATTAAACTGTAGATTTGAACTCTTTTTAACCTAATGAGAAAATAAAGTTGTTACCAACTATGAATCTTTTTATGTTCTTCTTTATTCTTAATTTTAACTAAAGGTCTTCAATTAATATAGAAATTTAATCCTTAAACTAAACTCCCTCTACTTAACCCACAATCAATCTATGGTTGGAACTAAGATAATAAAGATAAAAAAAAATTATTTAAAACGCCACAAAAAGACCTTGACAAGTTGAAATCAATTCTAGAAATAGAATTGACTAAATGCCACAAGAGTACTTTTGATAAGTTGAAATCAAACTAAGAAAAAGAATTGACTAAAATGCATAAAGTTGACTTGATAAGTTAAAACTAATTCTCCATTCAACAATAAAGTTGAAGAAACCTCCCTACGAGTAAGGTAGCTATTGGCTGCATTAAGCTTGAATAGCTTAAAAGTTTTATTTCTAATTTGAATGATTTACAACTGAATAGATGAGGCCTATTTACAGATGTAGGCCGTGGGACTCCCTAAAGGAGAAGGACTCTTAAATGATCAATGACTCCTAATTACAATTCTTATATAGGACTCTTAGATATCATAATTTACACATGATAAAATACATATAATTAGGATTCTTCTCTCTTCAATTGGTTGACCATATCTTGCTTCTTATCATTCATGAGGTTGGTGTTTCGGTTATGATAAGAAGAGTGTTTGGCAAGAACTTTAGATATGAATTGATAATTGTCCATGCTTGATTCCTTTTGAAGTTGAAGTATATCCATGGTGAAAGCAATGATCGACAAGAATTCCTTGTAGAAGCTTTTGGTCAATCACCCAAGATTTTAAGGATCCTTATTTTGTGGGAGAAGAAGTTTTGATTTTCACATGTTAAATATGTTTTAGAGATAAGTAATCAGCTGTAACTATTTCAAGAAGAGCGATCGGGTTTCCATAAGTGAAATTCCCAAGAGTTCAAGACTTTAAAGACTCTTTTAGATGGTCGATTTGTGATGTTCCGCACTCTCATTGGGGCAGCACAAGTCGATACACAAAAATTAAATTACTATTTACAATATGTTATACCATGCACAATGGTTTATATATTATTAAATTAAACATTCTAAACATCTCTCGTTGCAAGATAATTTTCAAGGTAACATGATGCACTAATTTCCCAAGATTTTTTATCACTTATACCATATACTCTATATTATTTTCAAATAACTCCTCAGTGTCTCAAGATTTTAATCATTACCCTCTTGTCCAGTCCTTCACTACATCCTAACATTGATATGAAATTACCATAGTGAATTGGGGTGAATTTCATATACTCAATAAGAAAAAACTAATAATCTAACAATGGATCTTACGTTTTATTTTCAACAAATTTTGGACTTCTACACGAGGTGAGATGAACTTTGAGTTGTTTGATGTTGGGGTTGATTTATGGTTGTTCGATCTAAAGTTTCATTAAGAGTATTTTAGTAATTTTATAAGCTCCTTCTGCGAGAGTAAACCTCCACTATCTAATCTTCCCCTCTTGTTCGACGTTGCACGATCAGGATCGTCTTTATCTACATGATTCCTAAGTGTCTGATCTTCCACTCAGCATTTGCGTGGCTTGATGTGGACTGTTGATTTAAATCCCCAACTGTGTTTTCACATGGCCAACCTCGCAGCCAATCCCAAATTGGCTACACAGAATGCTCAGCTGTCTAAGTGTTAGTATTTTTAAAAATTATAATTTTCCCCTAATTTTATAAATCTTCTTCATTTCAGTCCTTTTTAAATTATGAATTTTTCTCAGTTTTCTAAATCTTTTCCAATTTAACCTCTATTCAAAAGTTTTTTTTTTATTTTTGTAATATTTTGAATTTTAGAAATATTTTTCAAGTAAATTTATATTTTTTGGGGCTAAAGTAAATTACTATTAATCAATATTTTTCCGAAATTCGGTTGTTGGTGTTTCCCCATGCATATAGTCCGTTGTAAAAATTCTGGAATTTATTCTTATTAAATTTCTAAAGATTATATATATATATATATATACATATATTATCTTGAATTTGATATTCGGGCAAATTTTGTTCCAAGGTCATTAATTTAAGGTCTTGCAGAAATTTTAATTTAATTTAAATCTTCTTCAAATTTTAACACTCTAAATTTTTTGTTTTCTTCCCAAAACAACCTTGGGGGTCACGTGCTTCATGATTTTAATCATTACCTTTTGGTCCAATTCTTCACTAAATCATGATACTTATATAAAATTATCATGGTAAAATGGGGTGAGTTTCACATACTCAGTGAGAATAAAATAATAATCTAACAATAAATACGGAAACAATATGTAGAAGATGATGAACTAGTTTAAAACTAAATTTTCAAAAAAAAAATATTTCGACGACATACTTAAGAATAATGTGTAAAATGTTTACTTCGAACATAGTTTCCAAAACCTTTCTTCATTTCACCTTCTATCAATTTTTCTCGATTTGAAAATAGTTATAAAATTTGTATGATTAGATTACTTGATTTTTGAAAACGAGTTTATGTATTCACTAACTATAGATTAATTTCAAAAAAAATTTCATTTAAATTTGATTTCATATTTATATCAATCTTTAAACTTGGTATATTTTTCATGACACTATTATTTCGATTTCATGCTGTAACTCAGTTTTGTGTATTTTATATATTCTTGTGTTACTCTTTCTTATCGAATGTGCCATTAAATTTCACTTTTTGCTTGTGTTTAACACTTGAAGCATTTTATACTTATCACTTGAAATCTTACACTTGTATCTTAATACTTTATAACTCTATACAGTACACTTAAGACACACTTTATTGCTGATCCTTTACACTTTAACACTTAGACACTAAGATTCCATCGTATGATAGCACTTCAACTATTAACATGGATGGACGACACTTTATACTGATACGATAACAATCACACACTTAACACTTGTAACACCCAGGCCTAGGTAGATAGGGTCCAACCCATCTGGCATCATAAAAAAATATATAAGAGAGGCCAAAACAATATCATTTTGGGGTTTTCCAAAATAACACCATTTTAAATTAGAAACAAAAAAACAATAGACCAGAGGCGAACACACCTCTGGCCAGGGAAGAGAAGGAGGCATGTACCCCTCTTCTATCGAACGACAAAGAGGAAAAAGAGACGTGCAGGACTCCTCTTGCTTCTCCCTACAAAAAAGAGAGTTGTGAGGAGAGAGAGGGAGAGAGAGAAAGAAAGAAAGAGAGAGAGAGAGAGAGAGAGAGAGAGAAAGAGAGAGACATAATAGTAAATGAGTTAGGGGAACCAGAGAAGGAGATTGACAGCAGCATGGGCAACTTATCCCGTCGTGACCAGGCAGAAGAGAGGGATCAATCGGCAGCCGTGTGTCATCCTAGATCTGTACAACTAATAACTACATGAAGCCAGAAGATGAAGAGACAATATGCATGGCAGAAGAAGAGGAAAACTCGCAATGGTCAGTAGCAACTTTACGATTCCAGGTGTGTTTTGATGCATTCTCACTATATCCATGTTGTATTTAAGCGCACGAGGCAGTCTGTTGTGATTTTTGACTAGTTGTGGCAATCTTGGCGTAACATGTGGTGGTTCGGCAATGGCAAGTGTGAGCGCCAGTGACAAGGCATGGAAGCACATATGGAGATTTTGATGGTTACACATGGGTAGATTTTGCATTTAGGAAATTTTTTAGGAATCAAATTCGAGAGTGGAAAAAGTTAAGTGCATATATACTTATAAATAATTTGATATGTTGATTAATTAACAATATCTATTAGGCAATTTTTAATTAATTAATTTAATAATTGCGTGCAGTATTCCAACATAATTCATATTATAATAGTTAAATTGTGTTATTTCGTTATTTTTCATTCTATTTCTATTTTGTTATTGTTATATGTATTAGATATTGTGAGGATGTTTACTATAACTAAGAAATTAGGAAAATTGGAATTTAGGTTAAATTAAATTATTGCATAATTAGTAAGTATAATAATTAAGCATCAAACTAATCTTAGAGGTAATTAAATTTTAAAGTAGAAAATTCTGTAGCGACAAAATAAATAAGTGATCATTAAAAGACTTGGAAAATCCATTCAATCGGAATCAAAGAGGAGTGTGTGCATGTGTGTGGTCGATTTGGTGTGCGATCTGGATGAACCCAACTCATGGATATGACCTTAGTTAGACGTGACTAGGAACTCCCATACTAGACATCGTGATTAGAAATCTGTTATATGTTATCTAGTACCCATATCCCTTCGGGGAATGGAGATCTATTATTTTTTATTTGATACACACATCTCTTTAGGGAATGGGGGTCTACTATCTATTTTGGTATCCACGTGGTAAAAGAGAATACGATGAGGAACCCAGGATTAATATTGTAATCTAGAACTCACACAATGCTCATTAAGGCACCAAAGGCTTAAATCCTATGAAAGCTCTTCCTACTTAAGCCACTATCAATAGAGTGATAATGATACATCCTACACAACACTAACAAATACACTAATTGTATCAGTAATATAGATATGAGAATCCGAATATATTCCCACGAAGACCAAATTTTATAAATTAATTATTATACTAAAAACTATTATTTAAGAAGTGATAATTGAATAAGAGTATATTAAAGTAAAATATCAAATTAAATAAACTTGAAGAAACTTAAATAACCGTAGTAAATCAAAGATAATCAATCAGTAAAACAGTGTTAGGGTCCACAATCCTCTTAAACTTGTCTGGTTATCAATATTTATAACGAAATATGAGTTAAGATTAGCGGGTTACTTCTAAAGCTTGGTTAACCTTATTTAGGGACATAACCTTTCAGATTTAATGAAACTCTCATTTAGACACTTTTATATAAATCTGCATATAATTAACCCAATTATTTAACCTTATTCAGGAACATGAATACATGCCACAAGTCAATTTCAGATTATCTATTCGAACAAATCTGTTATTTGCCTGTTATGCAAAACCCTAATAATCATGCATTGAAAACCCTAACTTCTCTATTTGACACAAACAAAAAATCCATACAAGCATTAAACTCAATAATTTTGGATAAAACTAACTCATATATCATTAATCAAAATCAATACCCTTCATAGTTTAAGATTTATGTTTTCCTTAATAAAAAAATCTACTCCATAATTAAATCGAGAAAACAAAAATTTAAACTAAAAGAAAATATAATAAAATAAAATCAAACTCGGGATTGTGTCTTCCTCTTGAGCTTGATCTCCTCTCTAATGGAGTTTTTGAGTGTTCCTGGAAGAAGAAGAAAAAAAACCTAACTTAGAACAATCTCTGAAATAAAAGAGTGATGCTAGAATACTAATAATATGTTCTATATACACTAGGGTAAATAATAAAATTTCCTACTTATTTACACACTCATCAATTATATCAATTGCACAACACATATCATCCAAACTAATGGAAGGTTTTTTCATTGCCTTCTTGATATTAAAGACTATCTCCTCCTCATTGAACCGAATGGTTAATTTACCATCCTTTACATCTAATAATGCGCCAGTTGTGACTAAGAATGGTCTACCTATAATCAATGATAATTCATACTCGACATTCACATCAAGTATAATAAAATATAAAGGAAAAATAAACTCTCCTACTTTTACCAAAATATCTTCAATGATTCGTACAGGTCTTTTAGTTGATCTATCTGTAAACTGCAGAGCCATGCATGTCTCCTTCATCTCCCCAAGGTTGAGTCTCCTACAAACAGATAATGGCATTTGGTTAATACTAGAACCCAAATCACATAGTGCATCTTTAAATTTAAATTTTTATATTTCACAAGGTATAGAAAAAACTCTCTGGATCCTTAAGCTTTGTAGGCAACTTCTTTTGTATAATGGCACTACACTCTTTAGTAAGCATTATTATGTCATATTCTTCAATCTTTATCTTATTAGAAAGGATATCCTTAAGAAATTTTGTATATTGTGGCATTGGCATCAAAGCCTCAAAAAATAGAATGTTAATCCGTAATTTCTTAAAGATCTCTAAAAATCTAGCAAACTTAGCATTTTTCTTTTCCTTCTTAATTCTATCTAGGTAAGGAAACTTATTAATATTTACACTAGAGTTTGAATTGAGAATTATAGGCTTAGTGGTTTTCTTACCTTGCCCTTCCTCACTTACCTCAACCGGGTTCGATTGAATTATATTATCAATTCTCACCTTTTATTTTGGCTCCTCCAACACCTTCCCATCTCTAAGTGTAATGGCCTTTACATGCTCTTTAGGATTAGTCTCGGAGTTACTTGGTAATGACCCTTGAGTTCGACCTGCAATAACATTGGCAAACTGTCCAATTTGTGTCTCTAGATTCTTAATGGAAGCTCATGATTTTGCAATCTTGCTTCAGTAGAATTAATGAATTTTGTCAACAGCTCCTCCAAGTTAGATCTCCTCTCTTGTGGTGGAGGATGTTGTTGAGACTGGAATCTTGGTGGTGGTTGTCACCCCTAATTGTTGTTGATCCATGAGAAATTTAGGTGATTTATCCAACCATGATTGTAAGTATTGTTGAAATGCCCATTTTGTTTGCGAAAAGTATTAACAAAATTAACTTGTTCACGCACATTATTTGCAGAAAATGTGTTACCTGCTTGAGACTCTTGATTTGAGTGCCCTCCTCAAAAAAAATCACAAACAACTACCACTATAGCTGATTTTTGCAATTGCAGCCCTTGTAGATTTTTATTCAATGCTTCTATTTGAGCCATTACTGCTGTAAAAATATCTATATTATAAATTCCAGCTATTTTCTTTGTACATTGTCTTTCAATAGGCCATTCACTTGAGTTGGCAACCATCTCCTCTATCAATTCATTAGCTTTTCTAGGTGACTTCATATATATTGAACCTCCATATGAAGTGTCTATCATGCTTCTGACTTGGCTATTAATTTTATTGTAGAAGGTTTGTACTTTCTGCAAAATAGAGAATTTCTCTTAAGGGCATCTTCTTAACATATCTTTATATCTCTCCCATGCCTCATTTAGGGTCTCTGAATCTCCCTGCAAAAATTTAACAATCTTATTAATTAATTAGACGGGGAAAAATACCTACTAAGAAATTTTTGTGCCAATGCATTCCAAGTAGTTAAGGACAAATGTCTATTTATAACCTTTCTCGAGTAATCTAAATGAGTACAAACTCTTTAGATAATTTAATAAAATAATACTCTATATAAAATTCTATCTAAATATAGGATAAATACATAATAAAATAATTATTCTATCCCAAATAAATTAATTAAATAATTGTAAAGAATAGACTTACAATAAAATAATAAAAAATAATCTAATATTTATTCCATGTGAATTTCATGTAAAATACATGTGGAAATTAATTTAGGCATGTGAGATTTTAATTTAAAATAGGAGTAATTTAAAAAGTGGGTCCTAAAAACCTTTTAAAATTTTAAAATAATAAAATAAATAAATAAACATTAAATAATTAAAAAGGGAAAAGGGGGGGGGGGGGGGGGGCAGCTTGGTTTGGGTTACCCAGATGGGCCGGGAGTTGATGATCCGCACATGCTGAGCGGGAAAAGGCCCGCGGGAATCGCAGGCTAGTGGGCTTGGGCTAATTGGGTCGTTTGCGGGTCTGTGCGTGCAGAGTGCGCAAGTTCGGCCCTTTGGGCCTGCGCGCATAATCAGTTTCGTGCGATCCTAGAGGGCCGCATGTGTCGGCGCTCCTAAGTGCTCGTGCATGCGATTCGTGCCGCCATGCAGGCGAGTTCATGGATCATGCGAGCTAGGCCGCATGTTCGACAGGCATGTGGGCCTCCTTGCTCGCGCGTGGGCTTTCTTATAATTCTTAAAGCCCATTAATCTCATTTTGGCCTTAAACCTTCTCGCTTGGACAAACTTGGTCTATCTCTTGAAATAATTCTAATTAGAAAAGTAGTTCGCAATGAAATTACTTTCATGTTCTAAGTGTTTCCGTTTAGAAAACTGGAATTTACTTTCCTGTTTGAGTCAGAGCTTGCTAGATTCTTTCTCGATGCATATTGGCGTCCTTGACACTAAATTTGGGCTATCCAATATCACATCAGTTCTGGAACAAGTTATAGATAAATTTATGAATTAGATGATTCAGTAGATTTACAGGTTAGTTAGATTCTTAGTATCACATATTTTAAATAAAAGAGAAAAACATATTAAAAATCTTTTCAATTGATAGTTTTATGTTTTCTACCAACTTACATGAGTTACTCTAGTGTTTGTGGTACTTACTTACTTACCGAGCGTGTTAGCTCACTATATTAATTATTTATTTTTTTCATATAAAAATACATATGATCGCGCCTCTGAGCAGTAAGAGAATTATTAAAATATTTATTTAATTTACTCTCTTTCTCAAAGTGGAGCATGAAAATTTTGAATGCTCAACTTATTTAGAAGAAATGATAACTAATAACGAGAAAAGAATTTTGCGATAATGTGAAATGGCTAGTGTGTACTTACAATTGGCAAAGCTATAGAATGGTAGCTTAAGTTTCTTCGGAACAACATGACAATACATTTTTTTTTTTTTTGTCTCATTTATCTATAAAGCACTCCATTTAGAATCTTCTATACCGTCCATAGTTGGTGGGCAATTCATCTTTAGGGCTGACATTGAATGGTACACCTCCTTATCTCAACTCTATGCAATAAATTGCAGTATATTTTGAGTATATGCTCAAATTGTTAGTTTTCAATGTAATATTTATTAACTAGTCAAAATATTTTAAAATCATAAATTA